TGTACCCTAGAACTTAAAGTATAATAAAAAATAAATAAAAATAAATTCACTCAACTATTCTTTGTCTTTTGATTGGAGAGTGAAATCCATTTACATTCAATGTTATTATTGATAAGTAAGGACTTAACCTGCCATTTTGTTATTTGTTTTCTGGTTCCTTTTTGGTCCTCTCCTCTTTCCTTCCTTTTTGTCTTCCTTTTAGTGAAAGTGATTTTCTCTGGCAATATGTATCAATTTCTTGCTTTTTATTTTTTGTGTATCTGTTGTACATTTTTCTATTTGATGTTACCATGAGGCTTGGAAATAATACCTTATAACCCATTATTTTAAACTAATGACAACTTAACACTAATTGCATAAACAAACAAACAAACAAAAAAGACAAAACTGATAAAAACTCTATACTTTACCTTTGTACCCCTACTTTTAAACTTTTTATTCTTTCTATTTATATCTTATTGTACTGTGTATGTCTTGAAAACTGGTTGTAGTTATTATTTATTGGTTCAGCTCTTAGTCTTTCTCTGCAAGATATGAGCAGCACAATTACTGTGTTATAATATTTTGTTTGCCTGTGTACTTACTATTACCAGTAAGTTTTGTACCTTCAGATTTCTTATTGATCATTAATGCTCTTTTCTTTCAGATAGAAGAACTCCTGTTAGCATTTCTTTTAGAATAGGTCTGATGTTTATTAAATCCCTCAGCTTTTGTTTGTCTGGGAAAGTCTTTATTTCTCCTTCATATTTGAATGATATTTTTGCTGTATATAGTATTCTAGGATAAAAGGGTTTTTGTTTTTTTCCTTCAGCGCTTTAAATATGTCATGCTACTCTCTCTTGGCCTATAAGATATCCACAGAGAAGTCTGCTGCCAGATGTATTAGAGCTGCATTTTAAATTATTTGTTTCTCTTGCTGCTTTTAGGATTCTTTCTTTATCCTTGACCTTTGAGAGTTTGATTATTAAATGTCTTGAGGTAATCTTATTTGGGTTAAATCTGCTTGGTGTTCTATAACTTTCTTGTACTTGAATATTGACATCTTTCATTAGGTTTGGGAAGTTCTCTGTTATTATCCCTTTGAATAAACTTTCTACCCCTATCTCCCTCTCTATTTCCTCTTTAAGGCCAGTATCTCTTAGATTTGCTCCTTTGAAGCTGTTACCTAGATCTTGTAGGCTTGTTTGATTCTTTATTCCTTTTTCTTTTTTCTTCTCTGACCGTGTATTTTCAAATAGCCTGTTTTCAAGCTAATTCTTTCTTCTGTCTGATCATTTCTGCTGTTAAAGAACTCTGATGCATTCTTTGGTATATCAATTACATTTTTCAGCTCCAGCATTTCTGCTTATTTTTAAATATTTCAGTCTCTGTGTTAAATTCATCTGATAGGATTCTGAATTCCTTCTGTGTTTTCTTGAATTTTGCTGATTTGCCTCAAAACAGCTGTTTTGAATTCTCTGTCTGAAAGGTCACATATCTCTAGCCCTCTAGGATTGGTCCTTGGTGCCTTATTCTGTTTGGTGGATTCTTGTTTTCCTGAATGGTTTTGAAGCTTGTGGATGTTCATTGATGTCTAGGTATGAGATTTAGGTATTTACTATAATCTTCACTGTCTGGGCTTGTTTTTACCTGTGCTTCTTGGGAAGGCTTTCCAGGTATTTGAAGGGACTTAGTTGTTATAATTTAACTTTTTAGTCACTGTAGCTGTATCTGCATTAGGGGGTACCCCAAGCCCAGTAATGCTATGGCTCTTGCAGATTCATAAAGGTACCACCTTGGTGGTCTCGTATAAGATCCAGAATAATTCTCTAGATTACCAGGCAAGACTTTCTCTCTTCCCTTATTTTCTCCCAAATAAATGGAGTCTCTTTTTTTGTGCTGAGCTGCCTAGAACCGGAGAAAGGGTGACACAAGCACTTCTGTGGCCACCGCCACCACTGGGACAGTTGCTATGTCAGATCAAAGCTAACACAGCACTGGGTTTTGCCCAAGGCTTACAGTAACCACTGCCTGGCTATTGCCTACGTTCACTCAAGGCCCTAGGACCCTACAATCAGTTGCTTGGCCCCAGGCAGGCCCACAGATACCATCTGGGAACCCGGGCCTGGAGTCAGAGACCTTAGTAATCTACCTGGTGCTCTATTCCACTGTGGCTGAGCTGGCACCCAAGCCACAGACAAAGCTCTTCCCACTCTTCCCTCCCTTTTCCACAAGCAGAGGAGTCTCTCCCCATGGTCACCACCACCCCAGGCCCATGGTGCTTACCACCTGGTTACTACCAGTGTTCACTCAAGGCCCAAGTGTTCTTCAGTCAGCTTGGGTTAAGTGCTGGCAGTCCTAGGACTCTTCCTTCAGGGCAATGGGCTCCCCTCTGGCCCAGGGAAGGTCCATAAATGCTGTCCAAGAGCCAAGCCCTGGAACCAGGGACCTCAAAAGCCTACTTGGTCCTCTACTCCACTGTGGCTGAGCTGGTACCTACAGTGCAAGACAAAGTCCCCTTTATTCTTCCCTCTCTTTTTTTATTCAAGCAGGAGTCTCTGTCTGTAGGCACCACAGCTGGGAATATGCAGGGTCACACTTGAAGGCAGCACATCTCTGAGTTGCACCCAAGGTCTATGGGGAGTACTGCCTGGCTACCACTGCTCACTAAGGGCCTCAGAGCTTTTTAGTCAGCAGGTAATGAATCCTGCCTGGACTGGGTCCTTCCTTTTAAGGCAGTGGGTTCCCTTCTGGCCCAGGGTGTGTCTGGAAATGTTTTCCAGGAGGTAGGGCCTGAAATGGGGGTCTTAGGACTCTGCCTGTTGCCCTATGCAGTATGGGTGAGCTGATATCCAAGCTACAAGACAAAGTCCTCTCTACTTTCCTCTCCTCTCGTCAAAAAGAAGTAGTCTCTCCTGGAGCTGCAAGCTGTGCTGGGTGGGATTGGGTGAGAGGTGGCATAAGTAGTCCTTTGGCCAGCCTGGTTGGTGTCTCATAAGTCATGTGTCTTCCAAGTCCACTGATTCCAAGCCCAGCATAGCACCAGGACTTGCCCAGAAATTGCAGTCCTTGTGGTCTAGACTGCCTTTCAAGCTTATTTAGGACCCCAGAGCACATAGCCTGTCTTGCCGAAATTCCAGTTCTGACCATTGGGATAGGCAATTCCCCTCTGGCTGGGGCTGGTCTAAATGCTCCCTCCATGGGCACTGAGTTCTGCCTGGTGTTGCTTTCTGCTGTGACAGGGCAGCACTGAGTTTTAATGCAAAGTCCCACAATCACTGTACTCTTCATTCCCCAAGTACACATTCTCTTGCCATGCCATGTGGCCGCTGTCAAGGGATGGGGGAGTGGTGGCATCACCAATTCAAGACTGTTTTTCCTACCCTCTTCAGTGATATTAAGTTACAAGTAGGTACTGCGATCTCTCATCTGATTTTTTGTTTTTATGAAAGTGTTTTTTTATATGGATTGTTGTTCAGTTTGGTGTTCCTGTGGGGAGGATGATTGGTGGAGGTTTCTGTTTGGTCATCTTGTTCGGCCTCTACTGCAAAATGTTAATATTTTTAATGTCACTATTTACAATATTAAGGTAAAAGAAAACTTACAGTCTTTACAATGTAACAACATAGTTTTTGTGAATGACAAAGTTTTCTATAAAAGTATTGTAGCTTTGGAGTTATCTCTATACTCCTGGTTATTACACAACTGTGTAATGGCTATTCTGAATTTTAATCTCCAGCCTCCTTACACAGTTGCATAAGATGGCTCTAGTACTTCATAAACTAGACCAAGGGCAAATTAAGATATGGCCTGATGCTTTCTAGGGAGATGTTCTAAGGAGGGATAAAGAAGACTGGGCATGGCGAACTGCAGCCCACCAAGAGTGCTGAATCTGTGACAGTGAAATAAACCTACACTTCAGAAAGTGCTCTGAGAACCTAACATAACTCATCCCTCTATCCTTTGTAAGCAGCAATCTGGGAGGCAGCACCAGGCAGAGTTTTTTAATTAGGTAGCTATGTATTTTGTCAGAAAATTTACTAAGCAGTTGGCTAAAAAAATGATTATCTTCAGCGGCACTAACTCTGATTAGTATCTATTAAACATCTATGGTTTTGGAAAAGGCTCAAAGATAGCCAGCTATGTGCCAAAGAACAGACCAATGGCTACCAATACCACAAGGTTAGCACAAATATAAACCGCAAGGTTTATTTAATGGGGACGCTAAGACTGTGCAAGATGGTTACTAGAAAAACATCTTTCAGTCTGGATAAATACACAACAAGGGATCATAGTTAAAATACCAGTGACCTTCACAATAGGAAAGGTGGTCAGTTTGTGGAATTTTCCTTTTGGTAACCTGAAGAAGTCATTTTAGCAGTACTAACCATACAGTATATGTCAGGCACTGTAATAAACTCTTTACAAGTAGTACTTCATTTAGTCTTCACAACTCTGAGGTAGGTACTATTAAATGTCCCTATGTTACAAACAAAAAAATTGAGGTTAGAGAGGCTACAGAAGGTACCTGAGGTTTGGGAAGTGTAGAACCAGAATTTAAATCTGGAACTCCTAGGCAAAAAAAGTGTTTTAACAATCACAATATACAGCTTTGCCACATTAGTAAAATTTAATATTTGTTTTTGTTCATTGTTCACTATGTATGTTTTAAAATGTGAGGGTTATAGCTTATCTGTTAGGACAAACTCTAACTTGTAATTGACGGCTAGCCAAACATATCTTCAAAAAATAACTATTATACCTTAGTTTTCAACAACCAAAACAACATATTCAGAAAAAACTAAATTCCTTAACAGATCATTTATTAGTAAATCTTCAACAGCTAGCACTAATGTTTGCCCAAATGAGGTAAGGCCTCCATTTTTGACTGGAACAATTTATTCTTTGGCCCACATGAAATGTTAGGCTATTAGAGGTAAAAATCATGTTTATCTTGAGTTTCTTAATAGCAATGGGCTTTTTATGTAGTAGATACTCAAAAATCAACTGAGTCAACTAGGTAAAGCTGAGCAGGATAAGGCTTTATTCCCAATTTGCTTTCATCACTCTGAATATAAGAAAATGATTCCAAAATAAACACCCTGTGGTTCTATTAAGCTGTTTTCAACTTTACACTATAAAAATGCTTAAAAGTCGAGAGATTATACAAAATGAATACCTGAATTCAAAGATATATGTAAAATGCAAAGCAGGGGTACTTAAATATCTCAATGTCTAATTTTCGAGGGAACAGGAATTGGCATTTTCTAGCTTCTATATATTTAAACCAATTTATTAGATAATGACAGGTCTTGCAAATAGCTAGTAGAGTTAATTTGGCAAAGGTGAAACAGAATCTGCTGTCTTTATCAATCTTGGAAAAGTCTGTACTATATTCCCTCTGGTAGAACATAATTAGGGATTCAAGTAATTCTGTTTGGTGACTGTGGGGTGATATTGCCATCTAATGGCCATTTTTCGCTGCAAGTGATTGATCCCTTTTTCCCGCTTATGTGGCAATGAAGAGACAATAATCAGGTGCATACACTTAAGCACTCATCTTTACATCTCACTGAATTATAAAGTCCTTGAGGAAGGGACCATGGCTATGTATTTTCTTTCCTGAATTAGGTATTTGTTAACATTGAGGTAAGAACATGTTCTGGACCCACTTACATAAGCATATGAGAAAGAACATTTCATTCTTCATTCTACTCCACTTTCCCCACCCCTAACTCTTCTGATACTCAGGCCTGCTTACAAGCTGCCAACTAGAAAAATTGTGGTGGACTATCTCAAGTAAGTTTCCATTCTCATGACCACATTACCAATGTAAGTGGCATACAACAGATTATTAATTAATCAATTAATTAAGCAAATTATACATTACTGGCTTATCTTTACTTCCAAAGGCTTATCTTTACTTCTAAAGAAAAATAAGGCAGTGAATTCCTCCAGTTGCCAAATAAAATGCAACCAAGTTGTCAGCAGAATTTCAGAATCATTATAATGATTCTAATAGCCATGTTTTATTGAATGCTTATAATGTGCTAAACATTGTTCTAATTGCTTTATGTGCATTGTATCATATAATCCTCAACAAACAGAAAACAACAAAAATGTTTAGATTTTTTAAAATATGCAAATATCTCTAATAAAGTTATTTATTTAACTTTAGTTACCCAAATTACTTTGAAAAAATGGACTGCTTTGGCAGGTAATTATTCTTTGCAAGACACATACTGAATGACCCAAATTTATAGATGAAAGAGGGTTTGTTTGTTTATTAATATATGATAACCTTGGCTCAAAAAAGACAAATGAGAGCTCAAAAAGGAATTACAGTAACTTTAAAAAATATATTAAACATATCCAAGATCCTAAATATATTATTCTCCCCAAAAGCTAGCTGCTTCCATACTTGATTTGATATTTTGCATGTTTTCCCTATGTTGCTTGGTAAATATATTTGCTTCTCCTTTCTGCAATCGACGTCTGACAGCTGATTTTTGCTGTTTTGTCAACTGACGTTTCACCTTCTGTTTTACCAGTTCCTGGAAAGATTTCATAAATTAGCATTACTGATAATGAACCATTTCAAATAGTACGCTGCTAATACTTTTTCTATTTATATACTGAGAGCATTAATTTTTTAGATTCCAAACACTATATAGTACTTTCCAAAAGTACTATATAGAAACTGTTATATAGGAAAAATTAAATTCCAAACAGAAATACAGATTACACAGAAAAAATACAGTGTATAGGCAGAATTTTAAAAAAATTACCGTAGTGCCACCTAGTGGTCCATCATGAAAACTGATGGAAAAAACAAGATGAAAACTGCTTATTCCTCTGCTTTTTAGGTTAAAAGAAGGCTTTCAGAGTAGGTTTTGTAATAGAAAATTATTTTTGAAAGCATTCAGTATTGCTCAATATATCCAAGAATGCCTTCACAGTTTCAGCTGTAGAAATGACCTGATGGTAGCAATCACCCAAGGAAAAGTCTTCATATATCTTTTGATCATAAATTAAAATTACTTATTAGTTAAGATATACCGTGCATGGCATATGACTTACAAAATGAATAAGAAATGTGAAATAGGGTTCACAATGACCTTTTCTTTCTCTGAAACACTACAGTCTGCCATTTAATAACTGTATATAACCTTGTATCATCCAACTTGTCTCCTAAAAAAGAAGATAGCTGCAAAACGCTGCAAAGCCAGGAACAAGGGTCTTCTTTTTTTTTTGAGACAGGGTCTTGCTGTGTTGCCCAGGTTGGAGTGCAGTGGCAGGAACACAGTTCACGGTGGCTGCAACCTCCTGGGCTCAAGTGATCTTTCTGCCTCGGCCTCCTGAGTGGCTGGGAACACAGGTGTACACCACTACACCTGGCTCATTTTAAATTTTTTTGTAGATGGAGTCTTGCTACGTTGCCCAGGTTGGCCTGAAACCCTTGGGGGCTCAAGCAATCCTCCCCCCTCGGCCTCCCAAAGTGCTGGGATCACAGATCTGAGCCACGGTGCCTGACCAAATCTGTACTTATAATTTTATACCATTGGCTTGGCATGGTGGCTCACGCCTGAAATCCCAGCACTTTGGGAGACCAAGGTGGGCGGATCACCTGAGGTCAGGAGGTTGAGACCAGCCTGGCCAACATGGTGAAATGCTGTCTCTACTAAAAATACAAAAATTAGACAGGCGTGGTGGTAGGCACCGGTAATCCTAGCTACTCAGGAGGCTGAGGCAGGAGAATTGCTTGAACCCGGGAGGCAGAGGTTGCAATGGGCTGAGATCACGCCGCTGCATTCTAGCGTGGAGGACAAGAGCGAAACTCCGTCTCCAAAAAAACAAAAACAAAAACAAAAAACAAACAACAACAAAAAATGTTATACCATTAACATGTAAGTCCAAGTGTCTGAGGCTGTCTTATACACCTTATAATCCTCACAGTGACCAAGCTCATTATTCTTCAGCTCATAGGAAGAATGATTCATCCATCTCAAACCTGATCAATTTATCAAGTGACCTATGTTAATTTTTTGAAAGTCATCGGTTTGTATTCTAAGAATTACTTCAAATGTAATCAACAGGCTGCCTAAAATCTGAAGGACAACTGAAAAAGAAGGTATTTTGAGTTTTACCAACAAAGTCATTTGGCCTTCATTTTACACATAACGGTGGCAGGATACAACTCTGCCACATCCTTTGAGAAACATTCATTTATTAAAATCAAAGAAAGTACTGGTTTCAAGACTTAATTTAAAAAGCAACCAACAGAAATCTGGACCTGAAAAGCATACATTATTTGTCTGTATGACAAGGCAATCAGATCACAGTAGTGATGTAATAAACATTCAGTACATGTTGAATGACTACTTACCGGAGGAATTGTTGAACAGCTTACAACACTGCCTGAAGAAGTGATACTCAGAGTTCTTGTTCTGTACTGATTCATAGCTCCCATATTTTCTTCATCTCTAAAATTTAAAAACCCACAATTTATCTAGTTAATTTGTATAATGTAATGAATCCCATTTGATTATATTATTTTTTGCATGCAGCAAAATTGAAGACATAAAATACTTCAGAAAGATTATATCTTAAAATTTCCGTGAAGATAAAACTACCTACTGTTAAATTCTATATAAACAATTTTCATTTTCCAGCATTTTGTTAGTCACTATCAAAATTTAAAAACAGTAGAATGCTTTAGCCATTGAAATGTATCACCTCCCCACAATTCATCTTCCCTTTTCTAATAATCCTCTCCTCTTCTTTCACTGAACTATATAAATCTGTTTCTCCCTATGTAAATTTTTGAGACTCTTTCCACCTTCACAAACAACAGAAGATACAATGGAAACAGACAGTATCCATGAGAGTCAGCTCCTCTAGGGTACGAAAATCTGCAACCTAGAGACGAATGTTTTCACATGGCTCCAAGTTTCAATATATGGAACGTATAAAAACTCATAACTCCTAACAGTTAATATTTTTCAGCAACATCTGCTGTTTTGCTTTTACTCTGAATGAAAGTTTTGCCCAGCATGTATCCAGAGAGTGAGAACAAAATTATTGTTCCCACTCTGAGTTTAAAAGACCATTTAATCCTATGTAGGTTTTCTTCTATCACTGTGATGGTTAATTTTACATGTTAACTTGACTGGGCCTCAGGGTGCCAGATATTTGGTTAAACATTAACTTGGGTGTGTCTTTGAGGGTGTTTCTGAATCCATAAACTGAGTATAGCAGATTGCCCTCCCCAATGTGGGTGGACCTCATCCAATCCATTGAAGGCCTGATCAGAACAAAAAGGCAGAGTAAGAGAGAACTGTCTTTGAACTGGGACATAGATCCTCTCTTGTCTTTGGATGTGGACTGGAACTTACGCTACTGGCTCTTCTGGCTCTCAGCCCTTTGGATTTGGACTGGAACTGTATGATGGGCTCTCCTGCGTCTACAGCTTGTGGACTACAAATCCTGGGACTTTTCAGCCTCCATAACCTCATGGGCTAATTCCTTGTAATAAATCTCCATTTCTGTTTGTCTGAAGAATCCAGTCTAATACAATCACTCAAAATTCTGAGCCTCTGTCACCCCTGATTCTTTTCCTTTTAAGCTTCTGATTTAATTTTCTAAGTTTATTATTTAAATGGCAGTAGCCCTGTGACACAGATACACAGCTATATGAAAAAGGAACAAAATTCTTATGTTTTGCTTCATGAACAAAACTGTAAAGATAAAGGTAGGCTTAAGATATAAGCCCAAATATGTACTGAAAAATGTTTAATAAATGCATTGCTGAAGTAATTTTAATTGTCATATTACCATATTGAAATAAATAAAACCAGTAGTTCATTAAACTACAGTTTGATTCTGAATAAGCTATCCCAAATCCAAAAATTAAGTTTTAGAACTTTTCCTAAACTGAGCTGAGCCTGATTAATATTTACAAAAAAAAAAATTCTTAAAAGAAAACACAGTATCATTACATAATTTTAACTACACATGAACAAAGGACAGAAGGCTCAAGGTACTAGAGAAAATTCATTGCAGATGTTTCATATAGAAAGTACATTTATTGCATGTTTTAATATTTACATGCCTTTACATAACTCAAACACACATCAGATGTGTAATTAGGAAAATATGTGAGGAATAACTCATCCATCTAAAACCTGATCAATGTATCCAGAGACCTATAATAATTTGAAAGTCATCAGTTTGTATTTTTTTTTTTTTTTGAGACAGAGTTTTTTGCTCTTGTCACCCAGGATGGAGTGCAGTGGCGCAATTTTCGGCTTACTGCAACCTCCGCCTCCCGGGTTCAAGTGATTCTCCTACCTCAGTCTCCCAAGTAGCTGGGATTACAGGCACAGGCTACCATGCCCGGCTAATTTTTGTATTTTTAGTAGAGACAGGGTTTTGCCATGTTGTCCGGGCGGGTCTCAAACTCCTGACCTGAGGTGATGTGCCTGCCTTGGCCTCCCAAAGTGCTGACATTACAGGCATGAGCCACTGTGCCCAGCCGTCAGTTTGTATTTTAAGGAAGAATTACTTGAAATTTAGTCAATAGGCTGCCTAGAATCAGGTCAACTGAAAAGGAAGCTATTTTGAATTTTTAACAACAAAAAATTATTTGGCTTTCATTTTATATATCAAGGCGGCAGAATACAATTCTGCCACATCGTTTGGAAAAAACGCTCATTTACTAGAATCTAAGCAAGTATCGGTCTCAAGACTGAAGTTAAAAAGCAATTGACAGAAGTCTATACCTGAAAGGCCTGAGTTCTCTGTTTAATGATGACAAGGCAATTAGATGAGGGCACTCATCTTCATACTCCTCAGAGCCAGCAGGGACTCCTCCTTGAACTCTCTGACCATCTTGCCCGTTGTAATTTTCAGTTCTGTTTTTCTCCTCAGAAAATTCAGTTACAGAGTTGTTTTCAACAACCTGCCCTTTTATTTCTTCTAAAGCTTGACTGAATTCAGTCATGTCAAAACATCGTGCATCAGCACTCTCTTTTGATAAACTGTCTTCCTTTATTTGTTCAGGGTCTCCCGATGATCTGCAATAGCAGCCCTCTGATTCTTCTAGAGAGTTCTGTTCACTTTCATTTTCTGACCTATAAACCTCTGCTTTTTCTGCCACTTCTCCATCTGAAAATGAGAATTCAGATCTCTCTTCTGTTTCAATATTTTTATCATCTGGACCTAATGGATGAAGCAGTTCATCATCTGCCTGCATTTCCTTCGTGTAGCCACTGGCAGAAACCTCCACATCAAGAGTGTCTTCCCTTCTAGAAAAAAAAAGTTGTCAAGCATTGAAAGAGAGAAAAAATGTTTATCTAAGAGGAGTAAATATCTACTACTCTGATAAATTATGATTCAAGTGAGTTCAATAGCTTATATGTTAAAAATAATTTTTTCCTTTCCTAAAATGTATTTAAATGACACAGGTATACAAATATGAAAGGTATATGCTGGCTATAATTTTAAGAATAAAGTAACTGAAAAACAACAATATAAATAAAAAGGTTATAAAAACCTCAGCTTATGTTTATTAGCTTTGTAAATTAACTTTCAAAGGGGGCTAACGATTTCCTTCAGATTATGTAACTCATCCCAGATCAGAAAATATCTTCAGTGTATAAAATAAATATGAGAAAACTGAGTTTTGAGAATGCACATAATAGTTATGTCTTGAGAATCAATTAAAGATACCACCTGGGGCCGGGCGCGGTGGCTCCAGCCTGCAATCCCAGCACTTTGGGAGGCCGAGACGGGAGGATCACGAGGTCAGGAGATCGACGCCATCCTGGCTAACACCGTGAAACCCCGTCTCTACTAAAAAATACAAAAAAAAACTAGCCGGGCGAGGTGGCGGGCGCCTGTAGTCCCAGCTACTCGGGAAGCTGAGGCAGGAAAATGACATAAACCCGGGAGGCGGAGCTTGCAGTGAGCCGAGATCCGGCCACTGCACTCCAGCCTGGGCGACAGAGTGAGACTCCCTCTCAAAAAAAAAAAAAAAAAAAAAAAAGATACCTCCTGGTCCTGATAAAGGAAAAAACATAAATTTCAATGAACGTTTGAACGTTTGGTGTGATTCCTTATGAATGAGTTACTCTCATAGCATCCAAAACAGAATAACAGTTACTGAGTTTATAAGAAACTAGGTATGTTCCCTTTCTAAAATTCAATAGCAGTGCCTTAATGGACCAAATGCAGGTATTTTCAAGTTTTTAAGTTTCAGTTACGTACTACAGAGCAATGACATCTAACAGTGACTATATGTCAAAATTTGAAAAGTTTTTTAGATGAAAATGTTAATTTTTAGAAATACACAGTCCAGATATTTAAACTATAATGGGGAGTACACACCTGATATCCCTAAAGGTTGGAAAAAGCTCACTTTCGTAGCTGAAACGTTTCATGAAGAAATCTCTAATGCATTTAACATCTCTGTCAAAATACCTGCAAAAGCAAGAATCATTTATGATGTAGCTTTTAATGCTCCTTTTTCCTTATTAGCCAATGAAAATATCCTTATTGGTTAATGGTACTGCTGCTCCTTACAAAAAGAGATAAAAGATGTTACACAAAGGAAAAGAAGATACAAATGAGTTACCAGTGTGTTTGAAAAACTAAAATCCAAGAAAATCTCAAGGATATAAGCTGTCAATGCCATGCAGTTCCTACGGTTAGGAAAGTCAAGGTTTTCTCATAGTTACTGGTATATAGTTAGATACACTAGGGAAAGATGAGTGTGAACCCCAGGAAATAAGATTACGGGCCTATGGTTTAGGGATAGGTTTCCACTTATTCTCCTCGTCCTGAATCTGGCTATGCTTCCCATCAGCAACACTCACTAGAACCTCTAGCCAACTGAAAGATCTGAAGATAAAAAGATATTAATATTAAATAGTTAAGTTTGGAGACTACCAAGTTATGTTTACGGCTCTTTGTTATCCATTGGCCGATTTGCAATAATACCCAAAGGGATAAATCATGCTACAGCTTATAAAAATAATCTGACGACATGTTAATCTGGACCAAAAGTAGAATAATTTCTGAGTATCAGGCTGCCTTATGGGACACCATAAAGCAGATTAATCACCATAAAGAGATTCAATTCTCTAGAAGATTTCCAGACAAGGGAGAATTAAGGACAGGATAACAAGGAACTGACTATCTCTTTGAGAAAGATGAGTTTGGAAACAGGAAGATAATGCCTCTCCTCTTTGCTCACAGGGCACTCCGGGAAAAATATTAATATATTTTAAAAAGACTATTTTATATACGTTTACATTTCCGTACGAGACAGTAACATCTTCTAAAGCATATATAGGGCTTATTTATATCTCAATCTCTAGCAATTAGCACAGCTCCTTGGCCCCAGTACTGGTTCATAAAAATTGAAATTAAATCACAACATCTCCCCATAGAACGATGCAGCCTAAACCTAGAATGTTATCATCTGTCACACTCTGGGGGCTCCTAGATGTTCCTTTATTGTGTGACTATGTTACTCCTTATTAATAAAAATGGTGATTAGTTATCATCCAAAGAGTACTGATCACCCAAGTGCCAGGCATTAATCTTTTAGTATTATTTTTTTGAAAACGTTTTAAAAATTTATTTTCAAATGACATTTCTTTCTGTAGCATTAAGTACAGACATTTTCTACTGGAAACCAGGATGAAGACAAGCTTCACTTAACAAAACTACTTCAAGCTCAAACTCTGCAAGAATTAATATACTCTATTATGTAAGTGATACTAGTTGTTAGTTTAGGAAAAAGAAGTTTCTCATAAAGCTTGGAACAGAAAGAAAAAAAAATCCTTAGTTACACTCAATTGAATCATGAACCACAAGCAAATAAAGGATAAGGTCCTATTTCAGGACTTGGTTTGGTTTAAGTAAGTAATGTGAAGAATATGATTATCGCAATATATAGTGATTCTGCTCTGTGTCAGAGATAAAGTTTTATGTGAATTTTTTTTCTAATAATAAAAGCTAAAAGTGACAAGAGATAATTATCACTGGTTTGACAACTGAGTCCAGTCCAAAACCACAACTTTTATTCAGATCATCAAGATTACTGAGTTATGCTTGGTGAATCTCTCTTGGAGGCAATCATGGAAGAGCAAGAAAAAGAGAAAGGCAAAAGTGGTTCTAGGGTTCCCCACTTCACTTCCAACTTTTACCTGTTTTAACAGTTGGGCTTCCATCTAAAAGTCTGTTTGAACAAAGGGTTCCATGGCTAAGAAAATTTGACTTTCGAAGTCTGTCAATTTACAACAAAGAAATTCAAATTCTTATGGGGAAAACTCTAGTGGTTATACGTTAACACTAGCCACTTCAAACCAGTGACTGAGCTAAATAGTATCACAATACTATTTATTGTGATACCTAATAGTATCACAAAATTGAAAAATTATGAAAAAATGATTCTATTCTAAACAAACACATCCACATCCAGAATTAATAATAGCACATACAGGCTGGGCGCGGTGACTCACGCCTGTAATCCCAGCACTTTGGGAGGCCAAGGCGGGTGGATCACCTGAGGTCGGGAGTTCGAGACCAGCCTGACCAACATGGAGAAAGCCCATCTCTACTAAAAAAAAAAAATACAAAAAATTAGACAGGTGTGGTGGCGCCTATCTGTAATCCCAGCTCCTCAGGAGGCTGAGGCAGGAGAATCGCTTGAACCCGGGAGGCGGAAGTTGCGGTGAGCCAAGATCGTGCCATTGTACTCCAGCTTGGGCAACAAGAGCAAAACTCTGTCTCCAGAAAAGAAAATAATAATAAAAATAAAAAAATAGCATGTACGTACCACTCAGCATTGGGATGAGAAGTTGAAACCATCTGTGGAAAATCAATCATGGTGATATGGTCATTTTCATCCAAAATGAGATTAAATTCATTAAAATCTCCATGAATCAGCCCATGATTTGCAAGTTTGACAATTAGTTCCATAGCTTCATCATATACTGATGCAGGATCTTCAACATGGTGTATCTGACATCTGAAAGTATTTTAAGTATGAATATAGGTTATTTGTATTCGTTTATGATTTTAACAAAAGTATGTATGCATGTGAACACATATATTATTTCCATGCCCTGGCTCCCCAGCAGCTTTCTTATTCCCATCAGCACACAGATATAATATCCCCCATCTATTAAAAAAAATAGCCACACTCTGCTTCAATTCTGTATCTCTTTTCTACTACTCTTTCTTTGATCTTTACAACCAAACTTGTCTACATGTGCTTTTCCAATTTGTTTCCTCCTACTCTCTAACACCATTTCAAACAGGCTTTCATCTACCTCATTTCAATAGCCCTTGTTGAGACTACCAATGACTTCAATGTTGCTAAAGCCAAAGGTCCATTCTTAGTCCTCATCATATGTGGTCTGTCAGTTGACCTCTTTGAACATTTCTTCACTTAACTTTTAATGCTTAACATTGGGATGAGAAGTTGAAACCATCTGTGGAAAATCGATTGTGATGATATGGTCATTTTCATCCAAAATGAGATTAAATTCATTAAAATCTCCATGAATCAGTCCATGATTTGCAAGTTTGACCATTAGTTCCATAGCTTCATCATATACTGATGCAGGATCTTCAACATGGTGTATCTGATTTACAAGTCTGACAATTAGTTCCATTCTCTCCAGGTTTTCTTCCTTCCTCATAGATCACACCTTCTTAGTCTTTTCTATTTGTACTTCATCTTTTTCCTTGACCTCTAAATTCTGGAGTTCCTCAAAGGTCAATCCTATGACCTTTTATTTTCTCTTATTTAGACTCACTCTTGGTGATCGCATCCAGATTAGTGGTTTAAATACCACATATACACTGACTTTAATGTAGACTTCTCTAACTCCCAGGCATCTCAAACTTAGTATGTCCAAAATGGAATCTCTGATTCTGTCCCATCCTCCAACTCCAAAATGCTCTTCCTGTAGCTTTCCTCTTTCTGTACATGGTAGCTTTCTCCCTCCAGTTAATTGGCTACTCAGGTCAAAAACCTTGGTGTCACCATTGTCTCATTCCTTCCTTCACATCCATATCCAATCCCAAATCATGTTGGTTCAACCTGCAGAACACATTCAGAATCTGACTGCTTTTCATCACCTTCACAACTATCACTGTAATCAGAATTACAACCATTTCTTGCCTAGATTATTGTAATGGCCTCCTAACTTGTTTTCAAATTATGTCTTCGTCTCCCCAGAGTCTATTAATTCAGCAGGCAGAGTGACCCTCTGAAAACACTGAGATCACTGATTGATGAGATCACATCTCTTCTCCGCTCAAAATACTCCCACTCCAATAGCTGCTAATCTGAATCAAAATTTGGTAAGGTTTCACCTTACTAGTGAGACTTTTCTTGACCACCTTACATAAAACAGTAGTCTCTTGTCCCTATCTCCCTTAAACCCTGCTTTTTTTTTTATCCATAGTACTTACTAACAATTGACAGACATTTCCTTTAGTTATTTATTGCACATCTCCTTCCATCAGAATGTAAATTCCACGAGGGCAGGGATTTTGTTTTGTTCACTATTGAGACTAAAAGGGCCTGGCACCTAACAGTCCCTTAATATGGAATGAATGAATGAATCACAGAGATTACAAAGCTCATATTGTCAGAATGAAACTGGGTTTTTAATTTGTCTTTGAGTCTATTCCTTTAAATCAATTTTTAACCTTCCAGAGGTAGTATTTCATTAACTAAAAAAACTTTAATTAAAAACCCTGAAACCTAAATTCATTTATCAGGATTCATGGCTTTAAGAATAATGAATACTTACAGTGGATAACCATTTATGAGTTCCATGACAACTGCATGACGATTGTAATCAATTGGCTTCGGAACTGGAAATTTCCTCTCATACAATGCCTAAAACATTGCAAAACAGGTGTAAGCTAATGACCAGGTCACTACTCTTTAAAGAACAATTAAATATATACCTTTCCACAGAAAAACACACAATCCTTTATAAAATTATACTTAACACATGGTTATTTATGCATAGCTTATTTATTCACTGCACAGAATAAGCCATACATAAAAAGCAAATTTTAAACAAAAGTTTGAATTCACTTTTCTGCCAAAAATGAACATTTACAAAATGTTATGCACTGTGCTGGGGTTACAAAAATGAGTGTTAAAAAGTTTCTAAACAATCTAAAATTAGTGTTAAAAAGCCCCCAAGAAGCTTACAGTCTCTTGGGGTATATCCTTTCGTATTTTGTAAGTCTCTGACATTCGTTGGAATGTGCTCAAAATATTCAAATTGGAAACAAATTGTAATTTAGGAGATACTCATCTTCTGACATATTAGGAAATGAGGCATTCTAAGAGATCAGCCATTTTGGTTTATAGGGCACTGACCTTTTTCTCCACCACAATATGCAATATAAATCTATTATGTGAAAAACATATACACTGTTGTTGTCTGATTCAAATGTTAAGACTCTCCATACATCTTTTCCCCTGTGCTTATTGTCTTCAATCTTATTGTTTACAAAGCCCTGCTATTACTTTCTTTAAAATACCTCAGATTTATGCCCTTTGACATTTAGAATGCTAGTATTAGGAATGGCAAAAACTGCAATTACTTTTGCACCAACATATACTTGTAAGGAGGCATTTGTTATTTATACCTCATTACTCCACAGGTGTTCTAGCTTTTGCCATCATACCTAACCTATTCTATGTACTAATACCAGACCAACCTGCTGATGTTAATACTCCATTTAAAAAATATATATACATTGGATCGGGCACAGTGTCTCAACGTCTATAATCCCAGCACTTTGGGAGGCTGAGGTGGGTGGATCAGTTGAGGTCAGGAGTTCGACACCAGTCTGCCAGCATGATGAAACCCCATCTCTACTAAAAATACACAAAAAAATTAGCCAGGCATGGTGGCACATGCCTGTGGTCCCAGCTACCTGGGAGGCTGAGGCAGGAGAATCGCTTGAACCCGGGAGGCGGAGGTTGCAGTGAGTTGAGATCATGCCACTGCACTCCAGTCTGGACGACAGAGCAAGACTCCGTCTCAACAACAACAAAAAATAATTTTACATTGGCTGTAAATATTCTTTTCAGTTTGAACAACTTTTCCTGGTTTTCAAAATCCACCTGTACAGTCCTAGTTCTCCCAATATTCTCTCCAGGACACACCAACAAATGCAGTCAGGACAGTTACCTCAGTGTCACCTAAACACACAGGGCTCACACACATTCATGTCATTGTCCATACCACTTCTCTGCCAAAATGCACTGTTTTAGGGTCAAATAATACCCAAGTTTTATGGCTCCACTCAGCTCCACTCACTACCTGAAACCTCCTCCATCAACTATTCTATCACTTACTGAAGTTTCTCTAAACTCAGTATGTAATTTTAAAAAAAATTGTTCTTAGGCTTGCAGTGGTGGCTCATGCTTATAACCCCAGTACTTTGGGAGGCTGAGGTGGGTGGATCTCTTGAGGCCAGGAGTTTGAGAGCAGCCCGGGCAACACAGCAAGATCCTGTCTCTAAAAGCAGGCATGGTAGCACATGCCTGTGGTCCCAAATACTTGGGGGGCTGAGGTGGGAGGACAGCTTGAGCCCAGGAGGTCAGGGCTGCAGTCAGCTGTGATCGTGTCACTGCACTCCAGCCTGGGAGACAGAGTGAGACCTTGTCTCAAAAATAAATAGATAAATAAAAGATTCTGTTTCATATGTGTTTGTGTTATCTTCTCAACTTTAAGACACAGATTGTACTGGTTATTTCTTTGGCATCCACTCCTTCACCCTACACTAAACCCCAGCAATTAATTTCAAAAGGTTGCCTATGACTTACCTTCCGTGAACAAGAACCAAACAACTTTCCACTTCCCAGATATTTTTCTTTGCTTTCTTTTTACATACTTTTTTTCAGTGTAGACCATTTTGAGCATACCTTGGCAGATCAATAGCATGTGATAAACTCAAAGATTGTGAATATTTGTCCAGAACTTGTGCTATCGCCTAGAACTCATGCTATAGCCCAATCTTTATATTGTTCCTCTCTTATGAAAAATCAACATATTTAAGGTGTACATTTATGTGCAACCAGATTCCATTCCTATACCTTCAATATAAGTATCCTGAAAAACACCTACTACAGTTTTGGGAAAATGTGTAAATGATCCCTACCAAGCTGCTCATTTACTGACTGAATATTACAAGATACAAGCTATTAGTTTAAAACAAGAAATACATTAACATGTATGGTATCAGTAATACTAATTTATACTGCCTTAAGAAATCTCCCATGATTAGTGAAAATGTAAGTATACAACCCACTCAAAGAACAAGCTGAATCCTCAAGGAACAGTGTGTCCACACACTGTAGCAATCTTCAAATTTTTTTGAAAAATGAAGATAAACTACGACAAATCATACTGGCAGAATAATAAAAACACAATATTACCTTTTGTTTAACTTAGTTATTGTTGAATATATTTAATTTGGATATTATTATATTTAACAAACCTATGCTGAACTTAATTTTGAAGGCAAAAAGTTAAAAATAAAGGTTTTTTTTTTTTTAAATGTCAGGGGAGAGTACAAATGTAGTCCACCAGTACCCCAAAACGTGCAGTCAAGTTCCAATATTTGGGGTAACTGCAGGGATCAGCACACTTGAAATGCAATGAATAGGCCTAACCCTGAGAAAACCATCTTTGAGAGTTTGGCATTTCATCTGCCAGGTTAAGTATTTGTTTTCTATTTGTATAAATGTATGAGGTACATACAACATTTTGTTAAGTATATATGAGTAGTGATCAAGTCAGGGGTGTGTTCAACTCCTGAGTACAATACATTTTGTTTACTATGGTCACCCTACCCTGCTATCAAACATTGAATGTATTCCTTCTAATTGTATGTTTGTACCCTTTAACTCACTTCTCTTCATCCTTACCTCTTAAAAACGAAAGATTTTGGCTGGGCGCGGTGGCTCACGCCTGTAATCCCAGCACTTTGGGAGGCTGAGACGGGCGGATCACGAGGTCAGGAGATCGAGACCAGCCTGGCAAACACGGTGAAACCCCGTCTCTACCAAAAAAATACAAAAAACTAGCCGGGCGAGGTGGCGAGCGCCTGTAGTCCCAGCTACTCGGGAGGCTGAGGCAGGAGAATGGCGTAACCTGGGAGGCGGAGCTTGCAGTGAGCTGAGATCCGGCCACTGCACTCCAGCCTGGGCGACAGAGCGAGACTCCGTCTCAAAAAAAAAAAAAAACCAAAAAAACAGACGAAAGATTTTTACCTTTTTTGTTTTTTGAGACAGAGTCTTGCTCTGTCAGCCAGGCTTGAGTGCAGTGGCACGATCTTCACTCACTGCAACCTCTGCCTCCTGGGTTCAAGTGATTTTCCTGCCTCAATCTCCCAAGTAGCTGGGATTACAGGTGCCCACCACCATGCCTGGCTAATTCTTGTATTTTTAGTAGGGATGGGGTTTCACCTTGTTGGCCAGGCTGGGCTCCTTACCTCAAGTAATCCGCCCACCTCAGCTTCCCAAAGTGCTGGTATTATAGGCATGAACCACTGCGCCCAGCCAATTTTTACCATTTTTAATATACATATAAATCTATAAATGATGTTTGTTCCTTTATGTGAAACAAAAAGCTAGCCAACTTATCTGAGACACTGAGGTTTCTACAGATGATAATTACCTGCTGTTTTCAATTAGAAACAGACATATGTATAGCTATATACATTGAATAGATATATATACATCCACACATACATATTTGTGAGGTAACAACATCATTAATTATTTTTGGCTCTTCCATCTTGTCAGCATTATAGAATGTGTTGCCCTTATGCATTCGTAACTATTTAAAATACCTTAACATAGAAGGGAAAAGAGCCCGAATAATCAACAGTTATTTAGGACTGAGTCTGCCTATAGGAATTGAGTCTAAGGTTAGAGAGATGTGGGGACAACAGAATCACACTTGTCATTAAGGCCTTTGAGACACATGTATTATTTGGCTAAAAAATGCATGACTATAAAATAAATACCTTCATATAGGCAAATTCCTTCATGGCAGAGAGACGAGATAAATAAAGCCAAGACACATTATGCCTATGTTTATGATAATCACGTTTGTTTTTCAGATTTCGAAAGGAGGTTCTTCCTAGTCTGTGAAGCTTTAATGCAAATTGTTGTCCTTCTTCATTTGCAACAATGTAAATATCTCGAGGCAAAATTTCAAAAACAACCATTATTACAAGTGTATTCCAATCAGTTAAAACAATTCTAACTTTCTCTGATTTTATTTCAAAAATGTCATTTTTTCCTAATAAAGGTTGAGTATCCCTCCTTATCCAAAACCTTCAGACCAGAAGTGTTTTGAATTTTGGATTTTGGTATATTTGCACATAAATCATGAGATACCTTGGGAGTTATTAGAATAAAATTAATTCCTGGCATAAATGAACTTTCAGTGATAGACTTTCAGAGAGAAAATAGTAACCTACTAATTAAGGGCACTTTCTGATTTGTATTGCTTCCAATCAACTTTCCGACTTACTGTTTAGTTAGAGAAAAGGGAAAATTAAAAGAGGAATGCTTTCTGAAGGGAAAACATAAACTAAAGCAAAGAAAATACTTTGCACAGTACTATTAGCACTTACCTGATTCTTTGCCAACACCCATCTGGTTTCCAACAGACTCAACTACTTGCCTAGAAGAAAGTGTTTTCAAAGCTAGGTAATCATATCCTGCATTTGTCAACCGATAGCCCTGGACAGCTAGACAAAATCAAAGGAGAAAGATCATATTTCAGTTACACAGTACAACCAAGTCACATAAGTTCAAGTCATAAGAAATATTTAACAATGGAAAGTCTTCGTTGGAAAAAGATAAACTACCCAGGCTCACAAGTTTCCAATTTCCTCCTATAATTTGCATTTCTTCTCCAATGTACTGATAATCAAAATGTGACCTAAAGACAGGTCTATAAGTATTTGTGACAAGATAAAAGGAGGAATTTAAGTTCAATTTTTTTTATCAATTTGACCTAGAATTTTTGTCTGTTTTTGTATATCCATTATCCATTTCATTTTTCTAGTAATTTTTCTTTTGTAATTTATAAAAGGAATGATATGTGATAGGTTGGAAAAAACTAATCCCTCACCACAGATGGTTTCAGAAGTAATGATCCAGGGTATGACTGCTGATTGTATTTTCCAAAGATGGTAGCCACAATATGTCTATCCTACATGCTCTTCTGTAGTACCTACATGCTCTTCTGTAGTACCTACATGCTCTTCTGTAGTACCTACATGCTCTACTGCAGTACTCTACTGCAGTATTCTTACATGCTCTTCTGCAGTACCTACATGCTCTACTGCAGTAATTTACATGCTCTTCTGTAGTACCTACATGCTCTTCATGCTCTTCTGCAGCATTCTACATGCCCTTCATGCTCTTCTGCAGTACCTACATGCTCTTCGTGCTCTCTGCAGCACCTACATGCCTGCCTCTACATGCCTTCGTAGTACCTACATGCTCTACTGCAGTACTTCATATTGCTCTTCTGTAGTACCTACATGCTCTACTGCAGTACTTCTACATGCTCTTTCTGTAGTACCTACATGCTCTTCATGCTCTTCTGCACCTACATGCTCTTCGTGCTCTTCACCTACATGCTCTTCTGTAGTACCTACATGCTCTACTGCAGTACTCTTACATGCCTCTTCTGTAGTACCTACATGCTCTTCATGCTCTTCTGCAGTACCTACATGCTCTTCGTGCTCTTCTGCAGTACCTACATGCTCTTCTGTAGTACCTACATGCTCTTCATGCCTTTCCTGCACCTACATGCTCTTCATGCTCTCTGCAGTACCACATGCTCTTCGTACTTCCTTCGCAGTACCTACATGCTCTTCCAAGTAGTACTCTACATGCTCTTCTGTAGTACCTACATGCTCTCTACTGCAGTACTTACATGCTCTGTAGTACTCCATAGCTGCCTACTGCAGTACTCTACATGCTCTTCTGTAGTACCTACATGCTCTTCATGCTCTTCTGCAGTACCTACATGCTCTTCTGCTCTTCTGCAGTACCTACATGCTCTTCGTGCTCTTCTGCAGTACCTACATGCTCTTCTGCAGTACTCTACATGCTCTTCTGTAGTACCTACATGCTCTACTGCAGTACTCTACATGCTCTTCTGTAGTACCTACATGCTCTTCTGCAGTACTCTACATGCTCTCTGTAGTAATCATATGCTCTACTGCAGTATTTTATAGACTCTTCTGCAGTACCTACATGCTCTTCTGCAGTACCTACATGCTCTTCATGCTCTTCTGCAGTACTCTACATGCTCTTCTGTAGTACCTACATGCTCTACTGCAGTATTTTATAGACTCTTCTGCAGTACCTACATGCTCTTCTGCAGTACCTACATGCTCTTCATGCCTTTCCGCAGTACTTACATGCTCTTCATGCTCTTCTGCAGTACCTACATGCTCTTCATGCTCTTCTGCAGTACCTACATGCTCTTCTGCAGTACTCTACATGCTCTTCTGTAGTAATTTACATGCTCTACTTGCAAAGTACTTCTACATGCTCTTCTGTAGTACCTCTACATGCTCTTCTGTAGTACCTACATGCTCTACTGCAGTACTCTACATGCTCTTCTGCAGTACCTACATGCTCTTTCATGCCTTCTGCAGTACCTACATGCTCTTTCGGTGGCTCTTCTGCAGTACTCCACATGCTCTGCAGCACTACATGCTCTTCTGTAGTACCTACATGCTCTACTGCAGTATTTTATAGACTCTTCTGCAGTACCTACATGCTCTTCTGCAGTACTTACATGCTCTTTCATGCTCTTCTGCAGTACCTACATGCTCTTCATGCTCTTCTGCAGTACCTACATGCTCTGCAGTACTCTACATGCTCTTCTGTAGTACCTACATGCTCTACTGCAGTACTCTACATGCTCTTCTGTAGTACCTACATGCTCTTCTGTAGTACCTACATGCTCTACTGCAGTACTCTACATGCTCTTCTGTAGTACCTACATGCTCTTCGTGCCTTCGGCAGTACCTACATGCTCTTCTGCAGTACTTACATGCCTTCTGTAGTACCTACATGCTCTTCTGCAGTACTCTACATGCTCTTCTGTAGTACCTACATGCTCTTCTGCAGTACTTACATGCCTTCTGTAGCACCTACATGCCTACTGCAGGGTTTTATAGACTCTTCTGCAGTACCTTACATGCTCTTCTGCAGTACCTACATGCTCTTCATGCCTTCTGCAGTACTCTACAATGCTCTTCTGTAGTACCTACATGCTCTACTGCAGTATTTTATAGACTCTTCTGCAGTACCTACATGCTCTTCTGCAGTACCTACATGCTCTTCATGCTCTTCTGCAGTACCTACATGCTCTTCATGCTCTTCTGCAGTACCTACATGCTCTCTTCTGCAGTACTACATGCTCTTCTGTAGTACTTACATGCTCTACTGCAGTACTCTACATGCTCTCTGTAGTACCTACATGCTCTTCTGCAGTACCTACATGCTCTTCATGCTCTTCTGCAGTACCTACATGCCTTCTCTGCAGTACCTACATGCTCTTCTGTAGTACCTACATGCTCTACTGCAGTATTTTATAGACTCTTCTGCAGTACCTACATGCTCTTCTGCAGTAGTCTATACGCCCCTTTGCAGTATCTACCTGCTCTTCTGCAGTACTCTACATGCTTTTCTGCAGTACTCTACATGCTCTTCTGCAGCACCTACATGCTTTTCTGCAGTACTCTACATGCTCTTCTGCAGCACCTATGTGCTCTTCTGCAGTACCTACATGCTCTTCTGCAGTATCCTACATATTCTTACTACTACTCTTTCTCCACCTCCTTTGATCTGGGTGTGCCCTGTGATTGTTTTGACTAATAGGATATGGCCAAAATATGTTTTGTCAGTTCTTTGTTTAATGCTTTACTGGTCTGGCAACTTCTACTTCTTGACTTTTGGAACACTTGCTCTGATGGCAACCGATTACCTGAAAAATCACAAACGGTGCCTCAAAATACTTACTTTTGGTACGCTCCCAAGCTATGAGTTTATGTTTCACTAATTCTCTTAAAACTTTATTACAGCCACCATGTTTAAGGCTGGCTATAGAAGCAATCAAACTGCCGGGAACAATTTCATGGTTCTTCATGCCCATTTCAACCTGAAATTAAAGGAATCATAATCATAATCATAATCAAAGCTTTGTCTATCAAAACCCTGTGAAGAAATTAACTTCTCCTTGAAACTTTCCTGACTATGCAGTTCTCCAACTAATTCTGAGACATAATCACTTCTGTCTCTGAAAATATTTTTAAATAGCAATTTGAAATCTAATCACTGATATACATATAGTCTTTCCATTTCAAGAGTAGGAATTGTGAGTGCTAGACATACTGATGACATTTGGTAAATGCTAAAATACCTGATGACACTGAAACATTGGTCTTTAAAAACTACAGATGTGCCAGTTATTTATTAAGCACGTATTTAATGAGAAAGTACTAAATGTAGGCATTGTAGAGGATATAGATATAGATATATATGAATGATAGACTGGATAAAGAAAATGTGGCACATATATACCATGGAATGCATCCTTTTTTATGCAGCCATAAAAAAGGGTGAGTTCATGTTCTTTGCAGGGACATGAAACCGGAAACCATCATTCTCAGCAAACTAACACAAGAACAGAAAACCAAACACCGCATGTTCTCACTCATAAGTAGGAGCTGAACAATAAGAAGAACACATGGACACAGCAAGGCAACATCACACACTGGGGCCTGTCAGTGGGTTGGGGACTAGGGGAGGGATAGCATTAGAAGAAATACCTAATGTAGATGATGGGTTGATGGGTGCAGCAAACCACTATGGCACATGTGTACCTGTGTAACAAACCGGCACGTTCTGCACATTTACCCCAGAACTTAAAGTATTTTTTATATATATATGTGCTTTTTATCTCTGAGGAATTTTTATCTCATGATGAAGATTTTTAAAAATGGTATACATCTAAGTTTAAGAAGGTAAGAAGTGATAACTGCTTAAAAAGGTAGCTCAGGGCAGAATAATACTTCTAGCTGAGGGATCAGTTCCAAGGAAGATGCAAAACTAGAGACTGACTTTTAAAAGATGTGGGCATACAGAGAAAACAGACAAGGGGATACCAGTGAAAGAAAAAGATTTGAAAATGGCACATATGCAAGAAAGTACTACCCACAGAGAATAGCTGAGTACAGTGGCCGCTCAGATGGGATAGCATATAGAGTTCATGCAAACATGGCTGGAAGATACTTCTAGGATAGAGAAGGCATTAAAATGTAGACCAAAGAATTTTATATTTTATCCTGATGAAAGCAGGAAACTCTTGAAGATGTTTAGGCATGGGAGACACATGAACAAGGTTATTTTAGGGACATTAATCTACCAGGAATATGCAAATTGGCTTACAGACGGCAAAATCTGAGGGGGTACTCTGGAGAACTAAGACAGAAGTCCAGCGCAGAGGAAAGAGCACCCAGAACAGGGTAAGCGGTAGTGGTACTGGAAGGAAGGAATTAAAGATCTCTAGGAAGTATTATGGGAGAGCTTGGCAATTAAATGTGGAAGGGTAAAGGGAATGGAAAGCCACAACTGGAAGTGAAGAGAAAAAGCAAGTTTTAAGGTTTTATTATTTTTTTTTTTTTAATAGAGCTTGGGAAAAGAGAAAGGGGGTAGAAAAAATTGAATTTGGTCTGAGCACTAAGAGTCAAATAAAAATGTTTAAAGGAAAATTGGCGGCCAGGTGCAGTGGCTCATGCCTGTAATCCCAGCACTTTGGGAGGTCAAGGTGGGTGGATCATGAGGTCAAGAGATTGAGACCATCCTGGCCAACATGGTGAAACCCTATCTCCACTAAAAATACAAAAATTAGCTGGGCGTGGTGGTGTGTGCCTGTAGTCTCAGCTACTCAGGAGGCTGAGGCAGGAGAATCACTTGAATCTGGAAGGTGAAGGTTGCAGTGATCTGAAATGGTGCCACTGCACTCCAGCCTGGTGACAGAGTGAGACTCCGTCTAAGAAAGAAAGAAAAGGAAGGAAGGGAGGCAGGCAGGGAGGGAGGAAAGGCAGAAGGGAAAGAAGGAAAGAAAGAAAAAAAAGAAAAAAAATTGGAAAGGGGCCTATATTTAGGAATGAAGTTATAATTAGAAGGAAAAATTGTCAATTATTTTACAGAAGTGAGAGTTGAAGATATGAAGTGGATGCAATCACTGAGCAAGAGATAATGGAAGAAAAGGAATGTTTGGGAGCAGAATTGTGGGGCAAGTTCATATTGAAAGCTAAGGGCCACTAGTCAAACAATGATTATTGATATAGGAAGAGCCAAAGAAGTAAAAGGGAAGAGAGGCCCAAGAAAGGGTACCAACACTGGTAAGATTCAACTGAGACTAGGATGTCATATTTAATGACTAAGTCATTTCTTGGTGAGCTTTACAAATAATTTAAATATTGCAGTGCCACTGTTTTGGAAGATAAACCTGGCATCATTTTGATGTCTCACCAAAACCTTAACTTTTAAATTTAACTTATTTTCCATGCTTTATCTCTGCCTCCCCTATCCTCTAACACTCTTACTTTTGACCCCTACTTCTGTCAGAGGCATTAAGGAATGAGTGTGCTGAGGAAGCAGGAAAGGAAGGTATCTTTCAGAACTGATAAGTTTTCATAGAGAAAGTCCAGCTGATTAGAAGAATCTACATGAGAGACAAAGTAAATATTGTCTTCCAAATTTCACACTGATTTTGCATTTGATAGTTTAATCCTTAAGTGCTATTTAAGATTAATTTTAAAAAGCCAACACTTGAAGCCTTAACATAATACAAGAACCGGTGTGACTCACATCGCATATCCTGTTACGTAATTACACAATATAGGTAGTCCTTATCATGGGGTTCACTCCTTACCAAAAGATAACGGGTCCTAAATAAATGTACTGCTTCACTGTACAAATGTCTCGATCTATGTATTAATTTCTGTGCCATAAGACTAAGGCCATAAAATCAGATTTTGTTACTCCCCTGATCAAAAATATTCAGTGGTTACCCTCACACTCTTTACTAAGCCTCCAAGGCTCTGTAGTACATAATCTCTCACCTTTTCCAGCGACATCTCCAACCATTAGTGTCTGTCTCACTTTGCTGCAGCCACACTGGCCTTTCCTCTCTTCAAAGACTTTTCTGTCCCAAGGCCTTTGCACTTATTACTTCTGTTTCCTCTGCCTCCAACTCTTTCCAAGGACTTCACTGGGCTGTCTCCTTCTCACACAGCTCCCATTATTCCCCCATTCATTCTTTCATTTAGAGAATATTTATTCATTGTCTACCAAGGACGTGCCCCTCCTCTCCAACAGATACATATACTTTCTATGCCATTATTCTTTATCATTTTCATAGCATTTATCCATTATCCTACGTATTCGTTTACTTGATGATCTGTATGTCTCCACTTGTCTATTTGAATAAGTGAACCTCCTAATGTTGCTACTAAAAACCCGACAAATATGTGTTGACTGAATGAATCAGAAAGACTTCTATGCGACTGAGTCTGTTAGTAGGGAAGTCAATATTATCAAATCTCAGGAGGGGGCCTTAATAAATCTTTCACAGCTGGTCGGAAGCTCAGGCTCAGAGAAGTTTCCAGGCCACAGAGATGCCAGCGTTTCTTTTCCGCGCAAGGCGAATAGCAGCCGAAAAGAAGAAAATTATTAGAAGACGGGACCTTTGCTCTATCTGGGGGAAGGTAAGGTCCCAAACAAAACCTTTTAAAAAATTCAACTCTCTGATGCTCTCTTCTCCATTCCCAGCTTCCACCACGTCCTGGGTCCCAGAGCGTGCCTCCTCAGATCCCAGAAAACTTGCAGGAACAGGAAGAGGTCACACAGTGGTAAGGGGCCAGGGAGAATAGGAACGGTGGATTTCTTACCGCGGTCAAGACCCTGAAGTCATCTCGGCTCATGTAACGCAACTTGGCCACATTCACCTTCCCCATGGCGGCCCCTGTCCGAGCCCAGATGCCTCTCCCACGACAGCCGGAAAGCACAAGGCAGGTCGTTGTCCCGCCCTCTAAGCGCTTTACAGCCGCTGGATGGCTCGCGCACGCGCCGCGTCTTACTATAGGTCCTTGTTAATAGATAGAAGTGCTGTTCTCATTGGTAAAGGAAAATAAAACTACTTGTATGTTTTATGAAGCATATAGTATGTAACAAGTGAACGTTTTATTTTTGTGTAATTTTTGCCTTATGACTGAGTTGGCGTAGTATAGATGTTCTCTACAATATGCCATTTTGTTTTCCATATCTGTCAGGACTTGCTGTCTCAATGACGCGTTCCGCCTCTGAGAGGGAAGTGGTTACTTAATGGGAGGAGCACATTTTTCCTGCAAACAACTACTCCAGGCAAAGTGACTTCCAACAAGAGAGGGGTAAAATAACCTGAGCTAGAGTCCAGACAACCGAATCTGTTACAGGTAAAGTGAACTGTAATCACACAAGCACGCCCTCTACTCCTAATTGCGCCTGCTCCGGACAGCTCCGGAGGCCATGGTTAATGGAACTCCTGCACTTGCTCGGTACTTCTCTTCAGTTGATCCGGGAGGCTTCGGAGCGCGCCTGCGCTGGTTGGGGCAGGTGTCTAAGGTGACGCGTGGAGAGCGCGGCGGTCATCCTTACCTGTCAGGGCGCGTTTACAGAGGAAGTGGCGATTTTGATAGTTTGGCCTGACCTACGCGGGTAGGACTTCGAGGGCCTAGGAGCGATTTAAGGATTTTAGAATAGTTACCCATACTGGCTCTGCAACTCCATAGTGCAACTGTAAGCTAGTTGTACCCCGACAAAGACGATGACTATGATCTACTCTGTCTTTCCAGCTAGGATAGATAGTGCTCTCAACTCAGAATGGAAAAGGAAAAACAGCCCTCTCTTTCCTCTATATTCAAGCCTTTGTCTGCTTTTTACTTGAATGCAGCATATCTTGGATTAACCATATTCAACCAGTGGACATCTCCATGTAAACAGAATTTTTCTTTCTGTACTTAAGAAGTCATAGAAATGATTTCTTTTTTTTTTTTTTTTTTTTTCATTTTTGAAACAGAGCCCCGCTCTGTCACCCAGGCTGAAGTCCAGTGGCGCGATCTTGGCTCACTGCAACCTCCGCCCCCCAGGTTCAAGGGATTCTTCTCCACACCACCACGAACTGCTAATTTTTTTTTTTTTTTTTTTTTTTAGTAGAGATGGGGTTTCGCTCTGTTGGCCAGGCTGGTTTCAAACTCCTGGCCTCAGGTGATCTGCCCTCCTCAGTCTCCCAAAGTGCTGGGATTACAGGCATGAGCCACCGCGCCTGGCCAAAAAGTTTTTAAAGAAACCAAGTGACTAATTTTATTTGTACAAATTTATGGAGTAATGAGAAATTTTGTTACAAGTGTTTAGGGTGTCTGTCATCTAAATACAATATATTTTTGTTTAACTATAGTTACCCTACTGTGCTGTCAAACATTGAATATATTCCTTTTATCTGACTCCAAGTTTGTAATCTTTAACCCACTCTGTTCATCCTGCTAACTCATCCTTCCCAGTCTGTTATCTATCTTTCCACTCTCTTCCTCCATGTGGGAGCTCTGAAATTTTTTAGCTCCCACATATAAGTGAGAACATGTGATATTTGTCTTTTTGTGCCTGGCTTATTTTCCTTAAGGTAATGACCTCCCGCTCCATCCATGTTACTGCAAATGGCAAGATTTCATTTTTTATTGCTGAATAGTACTCGATTGTGTATATATACCACATTTCCTTTATCCATTCATCTGTTGATGGACACTTAGGTTGATTCCATATCTTTGCTATTGTGAATAGTGCTACAATAAACATGCAAGGTATCCCTTTGATATACTGATTTCTTTTCCTCTGAGTAGATAGATACCCTGTAGTGGGATTGCTGGATTGAATAATTCTATTTTTAATTTTTTGAGAAATCTCCATATTCTTTTCCACAGTGGCTGTACTGATTTACATTCTCATCAACAGTGTATAAGAGTTCTCTTTTCTCCGCATCCTCACCAACATCCATTATTTTTTGTCTTTTTAACAGTAGCCATTTGGACTGGGATAAGAGAATATCTCATTATGGCTTTGATTTTCATTTCTCTTATGGCTAGTGATGTTGAGCAATTTTTCATATACCTGTTGGCCATTTGTATGCAAATAACTAACTTCTAAAGCAAGAATGGAATGGAAAACAGGCCATTTCTGTTTCTACTCCGAATCCAGCACTTTAGCAGATGTTCCTAATCTATTATGGCATAATTCTTACATTATTTCTCAACATTGCCCCAGACAGCCACCATTAACTGAGTGGAATTGACTGGAATTGCTATTGGTGTTCTGAAGTATGCCTTAGGGTTAATCAAATTAAGTCCAAATCTCTTATACTTGGAGTATTACTTTTAAAATAAAATCATCATAATAATCAGACCCTTGAAGAGTAAAAGTAAGTGATTGAAGTACAGTTTGGTATTCTGTTCTACTCCCTCATACCATGCTTAGTGATGAGTAAAACAAAACATGTACAGTATTCATTAACACATTCACTATTCATCAAACATATATGCCATACTTTTTTGGCAGGTCATGGGGAATCAATCTCAGCCCTTATACCTGTGTTGGAGAGTGAAGAGGAAAAAATTAGTAGTGTGACACAGATGTGCAAAAGGTGTATCATGTTGGTGTTTTCTCCTCCCTTACCTCCCCTGCTCTAACCCTGTCCTTACAGGTTGCAGAAAACCTTAACTGTCTACAGATCAAAGTTCATATTTAGACTGGCATTCATGATTATGAACAGTCTATATCACTATCTTCAAGTAGCTTGTACTCTTGTTTAATTGAACTACTTTTGTTTTCCCTGTATAACTGCCTTAAATTTCTTTTTCACTAACTTTTCCCTTCACCTGTAATACTTTTCCCTCTACCTGTAATATTACCCCTTCCCTACTATTTTTCTTTTTTTTCAATCACAATATATGTAAATCTTATCTACCATTAAAATTGTATTCACCACATAAGGTTTTTCTTTATTATTCCTATTTATCTCTATATTAGTTTTCTCTTGCTGCTGTTAACATATTACCACAAACTTTGGTGACTTAAAACAGTAGAACTTTATTCTTTTATAGTTCTGGAGGCTGGAAATAAGAGATTATTTTTACTGGGTCAAAATCAAGGTGTTGACAGAACCGTATTCCCCCAAGAGGCTCTAGTGGAGAATCTGTTCCTTGCCTTTTGCAGCTCCTACTGGGATTTGGTGGCTGCTGGCATTCTTTTGGCTTGTGACACATCACTCCGGCCTCTGTCTCCATGCTTATGTTATTGCCTTTTCTACTCCTGAGCGTGTGTGTTTCCTTCTGTCTCTGTCTTAATACAAATACATGTAATTGCACTTAGGATCCACTCAGACCCTTAATAACATCTGTAAAATATTTTTTTCCATATCGGATAAATTCTTAGGTTCTAGAAATTAGTATGTGGATATTTTTGGATGGGTCATCATTCAGTCTCTCACACTCCCAAAGGGAAGTAAGTGCTCCACCCTCTAATCTTCTGTAGCCTGTTGTCTTTAATGATTCTGGCCACTTTTTAACCTCTCCTCCTTGCCCATAAGTTAGGTTAATTGCAGAAAAAGTTGAATGTGGAGATTGAATTTAAAGCTTAGATTCAAGAAAAAGAAAATTTGTATATATTTAAGATATTATACTAGCTAAAACTCAGAAAAAATTATGATAGATTTTACTGCATATGGGTAGTAGTGCCATACATTTGCATATAAGGGATATCAGTGGTGGGAAAAGACACAGAATGGAATATATGGTTGTGTGGAGTTTATGACAAGTTTCAATGAGAGACTCACAACACAAACTTGTTGAATTCAGAAGCATGTTCAGAATACACAGCAGAGATTTATATACCTTTTGAAAAATAGCTCCTGGCATGCTACAGAGCCCTGGGAGTGATGTGTTGCTTGGCACTGAGATATCACTCAGGTAACATTGTGGTCACAGTTGTTCAGTAATGATCTATCCTAAGATGAAAGTGGTGAACACATTTAATAAAGCTCCAAAAATTAAATTCTGGCCCTCAAACCCCACACCAGGACTTAATGAACCTCGCCTTCAAGGTGTACAATAATAGAGTAGAGGCAACCAAGTAGCAACGTATTTCTGAGTTGCATTTCCTTGCCTCCACTGTGAGAGAAACCCCAGCCAAATCTCTAGCACACAGGAACTCTAAATGCCTGAACCACAGCTGCCAAAGGTTTTTCCAGAACCTCCTCCCCCAGGCGCTTGCGACAGGTGCCAGAAATCTAGCCACTAGGCCAAGGAATAGCCGCAGCCCAAGATTCCTCCTAAGCCATGTCCCATCTGTGCAGGACCCCACAGAAAACTGGACTGTTCAACTCGCCCGGCAGCCACTTCCAGAGCCCCTAGAACTCTAGCCCAAGGCTCTCTGATCCCTTCCCGGATCTTTTCAGCGTAGCGGCTGAAGACTGACGCTGCCCAATCGCCTCAGAAGCTTCCTGGACCATCATAGACGCTTTAGGTAACTCTTACAGTGGAGGATAAGTCCTTCCCCTTCTTAATCAATATGGAGGCTACCCACTCCACATTACCTTCTTTTCAAGGGCCTGTTTCCTTTGCCTCCATAACTGTTGCGGGTATTGATGGCCAGGCTTCTAAACCTCTTAAAACTCCCCAACTCCGGTGCCAACTTGGACAACATTCTTTTATGCACTCCTTTTTAGTTATCCCCACTGCCCAGCCCCCTTGTTAGGTCGAGACATTTTAACCAAATTATCTGCTTCTCTGACTATTCCTGGACTACAGCCACATCTCATTGCCACCCTTCTTCCCAACCCAAAGCCTCCTTTGTGTCTTCCTCTCGTATCTCCCAACCTTAACCCACAAATATAGGACATCTCTACTCCCTCCCTGGCAACCGATCACATGCCCATTACCATCACATTGAGACCTAATCACCCTTACCCCACTCAACGCCAGTATTCCATCCTGCAGCACACTTTAAAAGGATTAAAGCCTGTTATCACTTGCCTG